TCGAACAAACAACTCCCGCACCCGGCGAAACTGTAGTTATTGTTAAATAAAATGAGGTAATAATTCTTGATGGTCGACGCTAACAATTGAATGAGTAGCAATGAGTAGTAAATAACAAGTATTGAAAGCACCACAATAACAAAGAAACAATTGTAGATAGAAACAATGTAGACTCCGGCTTGGACCCACAAAGTAGGAAGGTAAAAACTGTAGCTCATAGCAAGAAAAAAAAACGCTCGCGAACAAATGATCAACATCTGAGCACGCGGTTAACGCCCCGACATAACACCCAATTAACCCGATTTTTAACAAGACTACCACAATAATAGCAACAAAAAGATTGACAAAGAGTAAACACAAATACAAAGCGACACGAGCAAAGCGACAAACCGACAAACGGACAAACAGATGTGCAAATAGAGAAATATGTAGGCAAAAGAAGAGAGGACGGAGCAAAACGACGGACCGACCCAATGATTGAATGTAAAAATACAACAAAAGCAACAACTATTAAAATCGTAACTAACAACACACGTTTCTGGATTCCTCTTTTCCCCTTATGAACAGGAGCAGCAACAGCAAGCAGCAGCGACACAACAAAAACAACATTCGTTGAAATTCATTAGCGTCAATGAAGTCACGACAAGTGTTGCACCATCGCAAATACCGTACGGCAAATTCAAGGTTGCATCATCACGACCACGGAAGTGGCGCGAATTCTTCGTCGCACTGGAACCTTTCAACGGCAATGCGGCCACGGCGGGCCAACGCTAGTGGCCGCCATGAGTGACATACGCTCCGCCGACCTACAGGGTTTACCCACACGTCGCCAATTGTATGCGCAACATCGCGCGCTAAGCCGCGCGCTTATGGATTCTGAGTTACATAATTTGCGCAAGCGTGGCGCTTTACAGCTAGCGCGTTTGCAGGAGCTGGCCAAATCGTTCGCGCTGGTTGCAGCAACCACAACTGACGCTGGCGAAAATAGCCATAATCATAATGGCAACATTTATGGCAGCAGCTCTGGAGCCGGTGGTGCAGGCAACAACAATCGCCACAGCAGCAGCAACAAGCTATTGTCCACCATTTCATCCATTAACCATCTCGGCTTTGGTGGCAGTTATAACTTTAGCATGACACATCAACAGCAGCAACAACAGACGTCACAAAATCGCCCCGCTGCGTTAAAGTACAGCTCAATGACGTCATGCGATGCCATCAGGCGACCAACAGTAGCGGCCAACGCGACGGCAGCTAATAATGCTGTTGCGGTAGATAACTGTAGTACAGCAGGCAACGCGAATGTTGCAATTAGACTGCACAAAGTGACATTACTATTCAATGAGGTCGATCGCGCGGCCAAGCGGCTGGAGCAGCTCACGGAGCAGCGTCGTGAGCGCTTGCGTGAATTGACGCGTCAGCGAGCGCTGGAGGATGAAATTAACGAGGTAAGTGTGACTGATAAAGTTCGTCTATTTGTTTTTGAGAGAAAGTGTTAGAGAAAAGTTTTTTCATTTTTTTCTTTCTGGGATGTAAGCCGAAAGCTATTTTGTACGATGATAATATAGGAGGATTTGAAAAACTTTTATTCTCAACTGAAGTGGCTTTGGCTAATATCGTAAATTTCGCGATACTTTCAAAGGACTCATTGAATATGAAAATTATTGGATCCCGTGAAAAACCGTACATATTTAACTTTTTTATCCATCTTAGAGAAGATTATATATAATTTTATGAGAAGTGACTGCGTTCTACTTAATATTCAACATGTTTTTGCGTATAGTTTGGATTTCAATTCTCGGTAGATTACTTATTGTAATATATAAATTGATTATATGTCGGGATCTACCCTAAAGTATATCAGTGTGACGAACTGAATCAATTTAGATATGTCCCTGAAATTTTGCACACATCCTTCTTGCTCAAATAAGCTACTTATTTGCCGATAACCACCAAATCGGAGCACTATAGGATATAGCTGTTCTACAAACTGACCGATAAAATTCAAATTCTTGTATGGAAACCTTTTCTATTAGACAAAGTATCCTCACAAAATTTCGCATAAAATATTTTCCATTGCAACGCTTTAATCTCCGAAAAAATTGTTTACATCGGACTACTACAAGTACATCATATATGGTAGCTACCCTACAAACTACCGATCAAAATCAAAATAAAGATCTTTTCATACCCTTTTATGGTATAAGATGTGCACCTGTGAAAGGTATATAGCTTCGATGCAGCCGAAATTAACGTTTTTACTTGTTTTTATATACAGACCATCGGTTATGTACCTGAATTTATCTTATTTCAATAATTTAATAAGAAAATGGTCACTTTGTAGAGTAAAACCACTGCGCCATCAGTCTCTTGAAGATTAAGTCTAAGAAGAATATGCATTCAATTTTAGTTGCTATCTTTCATAGAAACGATTCAAATAAATATAATATGTCAGTCTCCCTGGTCAGGCACCATGAATAATATAAATTTTTAAGCTTTCTGCATTTAAGTGGGTGAATACTTTCTTATTTTTCTAAGAAGTAAGTGCTTTTAACTTAATCTTTGCAGAGAGCCAACTCTCTCTAATAACAACCTATGTTCAATATCAAATCGAAAGCTTACGAGATTCAAGAAATGCATGATTTTTGAACAGCATATTCTTTTCAGCTTGATCTTTGGATTTTAACTCGCTGAATTTAATGGTAATCATTCTAAACCGCATACAGCTTATCCGTTCCTAACTTAACTGTCTTTTGATCTTTGCTTTCAATGGGAAATATGAGAGCATCATGAAGATATTTTTTTTACAATCGACTGCTTGGACAACTATTTTCATTTTTCGACGTTGAATGTTTAAATAGTCTTCAAAGCGCCCTCTGCGGTCAGTGATTCAAGCACCGCAATGTATTTGTATCAAATTGTTTTCTCGTCGATTTGTAATACCATTCTCTAGAAAAAATTATTGTTTTAGGCAAATGCGCTCTCTAACACAATCTTCTTCAATTTACCGTAATTGAATACCGACGCATTCGTACAAAATATTATTCAGCAATCGAAAGATTGTCTAGTGCCAACAATGAGATTAGGTTAACAAGGGCTAAAACCAACAAATGAAATACCAACAGAAATATTATTTGCAGTTTAACATATTTAATAAATGATGTACACCAAAGCACCGAAGCATCGCAATAAAAATTAATGAAAATCCGGCGGGAAATATGCAATTGTGTGACTGAAAGATATTGCACAAGCCTTTGTAATCTTCACAACAAATATGACATAGTCTGTTGTAATGAGTGATGTTGTTGTTGTTGTATATTTACACGTAAGCTGAGACACGCTCCTCTTTCTCACCACAGAATCGGCTTTGTCGCCTCTTTTCTTTTTGTCACTTGACACTCTTTGACTTTTCAACTCTTGCCCATTAGTGATTACCTGTGGACATAGCTAGTACTCATACACATACACACTTGCATGCCTACAAACAAACCAACAGCAATAAGCGATTGTGTATTTCGGTTTTGGTTCATCGTTGCAAAACGAAGTGGTAACTGAGCGCCTTAAGCAAATACGCGCTGCACGATTTATCAATTTGTTAGCCGTGAGTTTGCCTGTTCCGAAGTCAAAATACGAAAATTAACTGTAATGCTGCTACAACGGTACATTATGTTTGTTGTTTGTTTCGTGTTTGGTTTTGCTCAGGCCTTAAAGCTACGATATGATGATTATGAAATTGCATCTTCGATTAATCAAAAATTTCGAAGGAGTCGACACACACACACACACACACATTCATATATGAGTGCACACAATACAGCTAATGTACATATGTAACTTCGCATATTAATGAATGCGCGCATGGGTGTTATGAAAATGTCGCTGGAAGGCTAGTTGAACGACCCGGCGACCGTTGATAAGAAACATTTCGGTTTTTAATATTTTACAGTTATGTGCTAAGTATCAGCACTTAGAATGAGCTTTAGCTGCTTGCAAGTATTCTGATACAATTTCTAACACTTCTGTCATTTGATTTACCTATTCTCTCCTTTTTTGCAATCAATTTGTGTTTTCTTGTAAACGAAAACTTTTATTTTCGCATCGAATAGTGAAAATCTTTGCAATAAATCGGGTAGCAATTAGTAGCTCCAACATTTCAACGCTTGTAACTATTTTTTCACTAATGAATTATCGGCGAATTTCTAATGATTTGCATATTTTGATTTATTCACACTTTCTCAGGTGACAACTTAATTTTGACTAGTTTTACGGTGGCACAAATACACTGAAAAATAAAGTTCTGTAGAAATGGCAAATGTTGAGGATACGAATTTATTATACCCTGAACAGGGAATATTAAGTGTGCCATAAAGTTTTTAAAACGAAGAAAGAAACGTCGAAGGCTCTATATATTATTCGTATAAATGATCAGAGAGAGCGACCAGCTGAGTCGATTTAGCCATGTCCATCTGTCTGTATATACGAGAACTAGTGCCTCGATTTTTGAGATATCGGTCTGGAATTTTGCACACGTCTTTTGTCGGAACCGCCGATATGGGACCACTATAGCATATGCCATACACCTGACCGATCAAAATTGAGGTACTTTATGGATTATTTTCGGTGCAACCGAAGTAACGTTTTTTCTTTTTTGTAGATTGCAGGATATGACAGTTTATAACCCAGCTCCAATAGACAATATATATCGACATAAATTCCATTATGTTAGGGATTAATTTTTTTTTTTTGAAATTTTTAAATTTAATAGGTTGTTCTATAAAAAAGGAAACACTCTACCAGCTCTTAATATACATATGTATGTATATGACTTTAAAGATTACGTGAGAAGGGTCTCATCGAAAAGAGAGTTCGGACAAAATATTTGTATATTGGGTAATATCTAAAATCGCATATCCAAATCGCAAAAAATTAATTATAAATTAAAATTATTATTAAAATTAAAAAGTTCGAAAAAATAATTGAAATCAGAAATAAATAACAAATAAATAAGCGCTAAATTGGAACTTTTATGGACTTATTTCACTCATTTTGTGTACCAAACGTTAGTATTTTCAAAAGATATATTCAAATCGTCGTGTGTTTTAAATATTTACATAATCGATACGTAAGATATTGAGTCATGCTCGTATTTCAATAATTTAGGTATACGGGGGGTAGTAGAAAACTCAATCGATTTATCCATTATTAGCAATAGATCACATTATCACCAGAAAGGACTTAAGCCATAACTAAAGTCCTCGTTTTCAGTATCAGGCGGCTTTGAAAAGTTATAGCTGATTTCGACAATTTTTAGATGAGAGCATGCCACACTTCGAAGCCACTATTTGTACAAAGTTTTATTTCGTTATTTTTATTGGCTCTTCTCTTTGTATATGTTCAAAATAAAAAAAACATATGGAATTTAGTACTACGTTAACAGGGGAAGTAGGTGTGGTCGAAGTGCGATATATAAGATATATGAGATTTCACCTTAAAGTGGGCGGGCTACGCCCATTGCCCAATTTATATACTGATTCGCATGCAAACTTGCGGTATTATCCCCAAGAATAAATTTAATAGTACAGACGTTTTAGATTGTTGCTGAGATTGTTTTGACAGCTTGATCGGTATATACATTACAGTTATCTTAATCAAAGCCGCGCCCACTTTTTAAAAATTGAAAAACCGCGAACCTGTGGTATTCCCTATGGTAATTTTTACTTTTGAACAATTGGTTATATTCTATTTCGAAAATAAACAGTTTTGTGGGCGTGGAATTGGTTCGATTCTCTAACCTAACTTTTTTAGGTTGTAAAAAAATAGAAGAAACTGAACTTTTTATTTCACACATCTTCTTTGATTTCCTTAAAAAATGCGATTCGAATAATTCTAAAAGACAGTTTAAAGCTTTCCAGGTATGCTTCTCTTCCATGAATACATACTAATTGAGAATTATAATATTTTAATATAAAAAAATCTAAACAATAAACCCAACTTTTTTTCTCCAAGTACACAGCAGCGATATATGCACAGCGCATGCACACTTGTATGTTATTCTTAACTGCCAAACAGCGCTTTCCTTGCGCATTTTGCAAAGCAGAGCAAAGATAAAGCCGAAAGCGGAAAACCAAACTTAGTCCAAATCAAAGTCGAAAAAGCAGACGCAAGATAAAGACGAAGGCAGACTTACAGCCGCAACACAAGCATATGCATGTACAACATGTTGCGCAGTGTCTGTACGATACTAGGCAAGGCCACGCCATGGCAACGCACAGCAAATACGGTTGCAATGTAAATGAGTAAATAACGGAATAGCCATCCAAAGGCATTTCGCGCAGCACGCTCCTTGAATGTGTGCAATTGCTACTGCTGCTGTTGTTGTTGCCGTTACAACTTTGCAGAATTACCGTTACCACATACACATAACATAGTATACTCGCCGGCATACTTT